CCGAAGGCGGGTGCGCCGAGCAAGCCACTCGTGCAGCTGCTGCGGTGAGAGAGGCTCCACTGTGCCTCCCGCACCAGTACCTCCAGGGCTAGCAACGCCAGTATCTCCAGTGTCAGAATCCCAGCCACTAACCACTGGGATAAAAGGGCTTGTTTGTATAGCGGGTGAGTGCACCCATAACCCCCCAGGCCAACATGCCTGTAACCCTTCTTTAGGATCAATCGAGGATCACCAGTGGACCTCTGACACCCCCCCGCACTGGGATGCCCGAGGTGCACACACCGGGATTCGAACCCGAGACCTTCGCTCTGATACCATGTCAGAATCCCAGCCACTAACCACTGGGATAAAAGGGCTTGTTTGTATAGCGGGTGAGTGCACCCATAACCCCCCAGGCCAACATGCCTGTAACCCTTCTTTAGGATCAATCGAGGATCACCAGTGGACCTCTGACATCCAGTACCTCCAGCCCTAGTACCGCCAGCGTCAGCGCCTCCAGCTTCAGGGCCGCGAGCGCCAACACCTGTAGCTCCAGTGCCACAAGTACCAGTGTCTCCAGCTCCAGCGTCGCCGGCTCCAGCGCCTCCAGCTCCAGGGCCTCCAGCTCCAGTGCCTCCAGCGGCAGTGTCTCCAGCCCCAGCAGCGCGACTCCGAAGGCAGGTGCGCCGAGCAAGCCAGTCGCGCAGCTGCTGTGGCGAGAGAGGCTCTCGCTGGCTAGACCGCTGCGGCAAGGCACCCGAAGGACGTCCAGCATACGCAGCACCCCCAGGCTCAGCACCCCCAGGCTCAGCACCCTCAGGCTCCGCACCCCCAGGCTCAGCACCCCCAGGCTCCGCACGCTCAGGCTCAGCACCCAGGCTCCGCACGCTCAGCCACAGCACCCTCAGGCTCCGCACGCTCAGGCTCGACACCCCCAGGCTCCGCACCCGCAGGCTCAGCACCCCCAGACGCAGCACCCCGAGCAGCACCACCCCCAGCAGCACCTGAGTCACCAGTGACCTCGACAGGCTCAGCCAAGGGAAGTGGGTCTACCTGAGACACACCTGAAGGAGCAGGACCCTGAGGGGGGAGGGGGTCTACCGGAGGGGGACCTGGAGCGAGCAAGAGTGGCGGGGGGGGGAGAGGGGCAGAGCGGACGCGGGCCGCGCGACGGGCAGGGCAGGGCGTACGGGCAACGCGACGGGCTGGGGCAGCCCGCACGGGCGACGCGACGGGCAGGGCAGGGCGTACGGGCGACGCGACGGGCTGGGGCAGCCCGCACGGGCAACGCGACGGGCAGGGCAGGGCGTACGGTCGACGCGACGGGCTGGGGCAGCCCGCACGGGCGACGCGACGGGCAGGGGCAGGGCGGACGGGCGACGCGGCGGGCTAAGGCAGCCCGCATGGGCGACGTGACGGGCAGCAGAGGCGCGAGGCGTGACGGGCAGCAGGGGCGCACGACGCGACGGGCAGCAGGGGCGCACGACGCGACGGGCAGCAGGGGCAGGGCGTTCGCGGGCAACGCAGAGCGCGCGGGCAGGGCAGGGCCGGGCGCGCGGGCAGGGCAGGGCTGGGCGCGCGGGCAGAGCAACACGCGTGGGCAGGGCAGGGCCGGGCGCGAGGGCCCAGCAGGGCGTGCGCGGGGCTGCGCGACGGGGGGCAGAGGCGTGCGCGGGTGGGGCGCGACGCAGGCAGGGCAGGGCGTACGCGCGACGCGCGGGCAGGGGAAGGCGGGCGCGGGCCGCACGAACTAGCAAACAGTTTGGTACAAGTACTAACCCTAATTGGGTTGTACCCCATACAGGCTACCCCAATACAGCCTACACAACACAACATAATGTTCTGACATAAATGTGTTTGCACCACGATCTCACTAAGGACAAGGATGTGGCTGACAATGTGCGCTGGCTGGGAAAATTGCCAGTCTAGCCAATCAGTACTCTTAATGCCGCCAACACACGAACAAAATCTGGATGATGTTCTCGGCGACTCGGGAAAACCCCGGAATTTGGGGGGGGGGAGAGGGGGGGGGGGGGCTAGGGGGCATGTATCCTCTATACATAGTAAACTCGATCCTTGAGAAAAAAACCTAGAGGCCTTAGAGTAACCTACACAAAAACTCTGATAGATAAGAGAAAACTCAACTTCCAAATTCAAAACCCAGCAGGTACAGAGTTCCTTCCAAAAATGACTCTGATTTTCAGAGAAACAGAGTAATTTACTCTGAAAACGTGGGGCCTGGATACGTATCATGATGCATAGATAATTGCCCTGTACCGTAACTTTGCGATGTCTTGAGGCACGAGCGCACAGGCATGTAATCCACACAACGGGAATCCTAGTGGTTTTTCCATTTAATCTCCACCCGATCTGGCAGAGGTAAGCATCGTTAGGAGAAGTCCAATTCATTATTTGGGAAAGCCAAGTTTTGTAGTACCTTATGAAGCTCTTAGCTATTCGGTAATAGTGATAAATCCATATACAAAGACTCACAACAAGGCAGTACAGATCAGTAACTACCGAACCCAAGTACTGGCTGGAACCCGTCAGCCGACGTGGCCTTGGTTGCTGATTGGCTCGTTGCTCTCAAGTAGACCTGAAAATGGCCCCAAGAGGACCTTCACATCCCAGGAACTTCCGCGCCGCGTCTCTCTGCAGGTGCACTCCTGAACTGTAGTGACGACAATTTGGCCAGAAATCCCTGCAGGGAGGGAAGAACCCAACAAAACGAACCCTCCCTTCCCCCATCCCGTTCCCCTCCTCCCCCCCAGTTCCCTGTCGTCAGTTGAGGTCATCCTGAGTAAACCTCATTGCAACGTATAGGATGTTTTCAAACCGAACACAACCGCGCGTGTTTGTAAGCGAGCTGCCCTGAAATCAAACATGGAATGGACTCTTACACATCATCAAATATCTTGTGGCATGAGTTGTCTCACCTGCACACCAGCCGATCACCGTGACTTACGGCGTGTAAAACGGGCGGGTAAGGACTGGGGACGTTAGGCAGGCGGCAGCCAGGTGGAACTAGCGTCTGCGCGCTGTTGCTTCTGTAAGGTCGAGAGCGCTTCAGCGTTTTAGGGTTGGCGGCGTTTGACTGTCCCCGCTGTTCAACTTGAACTACCCGTTAACTTAATTGTAAAAGATGATCTCTACTCCGCAATGAATCAATTTGAGGCTGTGACAGATCACTCTAGTCCGCAACATTATCAGCTTATTGCAGATAATTTTGATTTCGTTATAGTTCCTTCGCGCTTCGTGAAGGATTATCTGTAACGTGTCTTCTGAAAGCCGTGACAGATGGAACCACGCGAGGAGGAGCACCAGCCGTTAATTGCTCCCGGTTTCATCCGAGGAACGGCAAGTAGCAACCGCAGCGGCGGGTCCTCCTGGGCCGTAGGATCACCGTCAGATGCGGCCGTAGGATTCCCTTCACCACCCGCATTTGAAGCATCGGGAACCGTTGGATTTGCACCAGTGACAGGGTCGGGAACGACAGTACCCCCTGTCCAGATGGCACGTCCTCCGCATTACACGTCAGCATCGAACTGGGCCTTCCATGCCGAACCCACAGACAGGGACAGTCGGAGCCCGTCCACGGCGCCAATCGCGGCGCCTGTTGCGCCGGTTGCGGCGTACAGCAGGCACGAGGCGTTTGCGTTTACCGTTGACATGCGCGGGGAAGGGACGGCAGGAGTTGGGCCAGCAGGAGGGGGTGGTGATCCAGCTGATAGCCTGGAGCAGGTATGGGCAGCGGGCGATGGCGAGGGCAATGCCAAGAGGGACGAGCGTGGGAGAGGGACGAGCGTGGGGAGAGGAACGAGCGTGGGGAGAGGAACGAGCGTGGGGAGAGGAACGAGCGTGGGGAGAGGGGACGAGCGTGGGGAGAGGGACGAGCGTGGGGAGAGGGACGAGAGTGGAGAGAGGGTCGAGCGTGGGAGAGGGACGAGCGTGGGGAGAGGGACGAGCGTGGGGAGAGGGACGAGCGTGGGGAGAGGAACGAGCGTGGGGAGAGGAACGAGCGTGGGGAGAGGAACGAGCGTGGGGGGAGGAACGAGCGTGGGGAGAGGGACGAGCGTGGGGAGAGGGACGAGCGTGGGGAGAGGGACGAGAGTGGGGAGAGGGTCGAGCGTGGGGGGATGGGCGAGCGTGGAGAGAGGAACGAGGGTTGGGAGAGGAGAGAGGGGGGGGGGGAGGAGGGAAGAGGGGGAGTGGGAGAGTGTGACGGAATCAGAATGGGAGGCAGAGGCAGAGGGAGTCGATGATTGAAACAAATAGGATGTGTGCCGTGGAACAAACTTAAGGACGGCGTGTCAAAGTCCGACCGCACAAACACACATATTTCTATTCAGCGCTTGCTTGCTTACTTACTCGGAGGAGGGCAGGCGAGGATTTGCAGATTCTTTCGTTTCCTTGCCTCTCGCCTGCTCTGCTGCTCTCCCATTCATCTAAACACCGAGTCAAATCCTTCCTTTGGATTCACACACGCCTCCGCACGCTCATGTGTGTGCCTGGCTCTCCGCCTCACAGCCCCACCCCCTGCGCCGTCTTGACGTGCGTGATGCGCCCATGGGATCGTCACATCCGTGATCAATTATTCCGCCTCATCTCACCACGTCCCTTCTCCCCACAAACCTCTGCAGCCTCTACCCCTCTGCAGCCCCTACCCCTCTGCAGCCCCTACCCCTCTGGAGCCCCTACCCCTCTGCAGCCCCTACCCCTCTGCAGCCCCTACCCCTCTGCAGCCCCTACCCCTCTGCAGCCCCTACCCCTCTGCAGCCCCTACCCCTCTTCAAGTTACAACCACCCCAACGGTCAACCCCAACAGCCCTCATCCCTCTCCGCATCTCCAACCTCCACAACACAACCCCCCCGCCCCCAACCCCTTTCCCAAGCACCCCAACCCCCCACCCCACCCCCGTCACCCCCCATTCCACCGGCGCCCTTCACCCCGCCCACCTGGCTCCGCTCGCATTCCGGAGGCGAGCAGATGGAATGCGAGAGGCGCCAGGCGAGCAAATGGAATGCGAGAGGTTCCAGGCGACCTGAGGGCCATTCCGCCTCTGACAGGCGAGGCGAGCGAGTCCGCGTCCATTCTGACCTTTTCGCCTTCATCCGTTTTTGAGGCGCCTCAAAAACAGGCATCCGATTTTGAGGCGCCTCCCATTCTGACGTTTTCGCCTTCATCCATCCGATCCGCCCATGGTGCCGCCGCATGGGCTCCGCCTATGACGACTCCCTCGCCTCACATCACAGCACCACCCATGCCCCATCGCCAGGCAGCCCCCAGAACCTCACAACCTCTTCAACCCTCCCTTACCCTCCTCCCCCTCCCCCATCCCTCCCTCACGCGCCCTCTTCCCCTCTTTCCCCTCTTTCCCTCCCCTCTTTCCCCTCTTTCCCCCCTTCCCCTCTTCCCCTCTTCCCCTCTTTCCCCTCTTTCCCCTCTTCCCCTCTTCCCCTCTTTCCCCTCTTTCCCCTCTTCCCCTCTTTCCCCTCTTTCCCCTCTTCCCCTCTTTCCCCTCTTTCCCCTCTTCCCCTCTTCCCCTCTTCCCCTCTTCCCCTCTTCCCCTCTTCCCCTCTTCCCCTCTTCCCCTCTTTCCCCTCTTCGCCCACCAGCCCCTTCACACCACCCGCCTGGCACCACTCGAACCCCCCGAGCTGCGCTTAGGCTCCGTCTGCCCGCTGCAAGGGCTCGGCTCGGACAATTCCCTCTCCTCGCAGCACCACCTGCTGCCCCGTTTGGCAGGAGGCCGGGAGTCCCCCCTGTAACCACCACAATTCTCCCCTTCCCCCCCCCCTGCATCCCCCAACTCCCCTGACCTCCCCGTTCCCCCATCCACTCCCCCACCAGCCCCTTCAATCCGCCCGCTTGGCACCGCTAGAATCCCCCGAGCTGAGGGCCATTCTGCACAAGTCCGCCTCCATGCTGCGATTCGAGTCCATCCGCCGCCGCAAGGGCTCTGGCTCCGATGACTCCCTTGCCTCGCAGCAGCACCTGCTGCCGCCCGGGGCAGCGGGCAGCGTTGGGAGTGGGCGGCACAGTTTGTCCCGGGCTGACAGTGGTGGGAGTGCGGGGAGCTTTGGCAGTGCAGGAGGGGGAGGGGGGAGTGGGAGTAACAGCTTGAATGTGACTCCGGAGAGTAGCTTTCACCGCGGGGATATGTACAGCGGGAGTATGTTCGAGGTGAGCGGGTGAAGCTGCTTAGGATACGTAGGATGCTTGGTTGGGACGCGTCTGCTTGCTGTGGATTGTGCTGTTTGTTCCACATTCCCCAATGTCCGACCCTTCTCCCATCCCATCCCATCCCATCCCATCCCATCCCATCCCATCCCATCCCATCCCATCCCATCCCATCCCATCCCATCCCATCCCATCCCATCCCATCCCATCCCATCCCATCCCATCCATCCATCCCATCCCATCCCAGCCCATCCATCCCATCCCATCCCATCCCATCCCATCCCATCCCATCCCATCCCATCCCATCCCATCCCATCCCATCCCATCCCATCCCATCCCATCCCATCCCATCCCATCCCATCCCATCCCATCCCCTCCCCCTCCCCCCCCCATCCCATCCCATCCCATCCCATCCCATCCCATCCCATCCCATCCCATCCCATTACCTCCCCTCCCATCCCATCCCATCCCATCCCATCCCCTCCCATCCCATCCCATCCCATCCCATCCCATCCCATCCCATCCCATCCCATCCCATCCCATCCCATCCCACCCCATCCCATCCCATCCCATCCCATCCCATCCCATCCCATCCCACCCCATCCCATCCCCATCCCCCATCCCATCCCATCCCATCCCATCCCATCCCATCCCATCCCATCCCATCCCATCCCATCCCATCCCATCCCATCCCATGCCATCCCATCCCATCCCATCCCATCCCATCCCATCCCATCCCATCCCATCCCCTCCCCTCCCCTCCCCCCTCCCATCCCATCCCATCCCATCCCCTCCCCTCCCCTCCCCTCCCATCCCATTCCATCCCATCCCATCCCATCCCATCCCATCCCATCCCATCCCATCCCATCCCATCCCATCCCATTACCTCCCCTCCCCTCCCATCCCACCCCATCCCATCCCATCCCCTCCCATCCCATCCCATCCCATCCCATCCCATCCCATCCCATCCCATCCCATCCCATCCCATCCCATCCCATCCCATCCCATCCCATCCCATCCCATCCCATCCCATCCTATCCCATCCCATCCCATCCCATCCCATCCCATCCCATCCCATCCCATCCCATCCCATCCCATCCCATCCCATCCCATCCCCTCCCTCCCCTCCCCTCCCCTCCCATCCCATCCCATCCCATCCCATCCCATCCCATCCCATCCCATCCCATCCCATCCCATCCCACCCCACCCCATCCCATCCCATCCCATCCCATCCCATCCCACCCCATCCCATCCCATCCCACCCCACCCCATCCCATCCCATCCCATCCCATCCCTTCCCATCCCATCCCACCCCGTCCCATCCCATCCCACCCCAACCCATCCCATCCCATCCCATCCCATCCCTTCCCATCCCTTCCCATCCCACCCCACCCCATCCCATCCCATCCCATCCCATCCCATCCCACCCCATCCCATCCCATCCCACCCCATCCCATCCCATCCCATCCCATCCCTTCCCTTTCTATCCCATCCCATCCCATCCCATCCCACCCCACTCGACCGCACCCTGTCCCGCCCTCAGGCCATCTCAGAGGTGCCGCCATCTAGCGAGGCGGCAGGGGAGGGCGAGGGGGGCGAGGGCGGTCCAGATTCGGTGTATCTATCGGACTGGGTGATCAACCCGCAGGCATCGCTGTACCAGCAGTTCCAGGCGGCGCTGCTGCTGCTGGCCATCCTCATCGGCATCGTTGAGCCCTTCAACGTCGCGTTCCTCGATACCGAGAATGTGTTCACGCCAGTCAATGTCTTCATCTATTGCACCGATGCCGTGAGTGCTCTGTGTGGAGTGTGCAACAGGGGTTGTAACCGTTTAAGTGCGGGAGAGAAGTCTTTCTTATCAGGGCAGCATTGCCATCCTGAGCTACCCGCTTCCCCTCTCCGCTTCTTATGCACACTGATCCCTCCCTTCTTGCTTGATACTCTCTTTCCCCGCCTGGCCTTTCTTGCCTCGCCCTGTGTTGCCACAGATTTTGTGTGTCCCCTCTGTGTGTATGCCTCGCTTTGCCCCTCCTCAACTCTTGCCCCCCTTCTCAACCCTTGCCTCCTCCTCAACCCTTGCCCCCTCTTCAACCCCTCCACCCTCCTCAACCCATCCTCTCATTGCCCCGTTCTCGCCTCCGCCTCAACCCATCCTCTCATTGCCCCGTTCTCGCCTCCGCCTCAACCCATCCTCTCATTGCCCCGTTCTCGCCTCCGCCTCAACCCATCCTCTCCTTGAGGTGCTCTTGAGCAATGCGCCGCTTTCCTTCTCGTACGCACACTCTCTCATCTCTTCCGCTTCGCTTCCAATCGGCCCCTCGCACAGCGCCCCCCTTTGCCCCCCTCCGCCCCTCCTCGCTCCTCTTGGCCGACTTTGCCCCAACCCCCCCTCGTTGCCCTTCGCCCCCCTCCCCCGCAGGTGTTTCTGAGCGACGTGCTGCTCTCCTTCTTCGTGCCCGAGTTCCGCATGGGCGAGTGGAAGACCAGCCTCGCCAGCATTGCTGTCGAGTAAGCATGAGTCACTCATGCATGCATGCATGCATGCTCTCTCTCTCGTTTAGTCAAGTGCCACAAGCACATGTTCTTACTGCCTGAGCGAGACCATCTGCATGCCGTCCTTGAAACCACCTCTTTTGTTTCCCTCATCGCTCTTTCCCCTCTCCCTCTTTCAATCCTCACCCCCTCAGGTACCTACGGGGTATGTTCTGGTACGACATGCTAGCAGCGCTGCCATGGGATCTGGTGCTCAAGGGCGTGTATCAGCCCACCGGCACCGCTGCTGTCGCCCTCTCCGCCTTCGGCCTGCTGCGACTGCTGCGTCTCATCCGCCTGTGAGTATTTCTCATCCGCCTGTGAGTATTGCTCATCCGCCTGTGAGTATTGCTCATCCGCCTGTGAGTATTGCTCATCCGCCTGTGAGTATTGCTCATCCGCCTGTGAGTATTGCTCATCCGCCTGTGAGTATTGCTCATCCGCCTGTGAGTATTGCTCATCCGCCTGTGAGTATTGCTCATCCGCCTGTGAGTATTGCTCATCCGCCTGTGAGTATTGCTCATCCGCCTGTGAGTATTGCTCATCCGCCTGTGAGTTTTGCTCATCCGCCTGTGAGTATTGCTCATCCGCCTGTGAGTATTGCTCATCCGCCTGTGAGTATTGCTCATCCGCCTGTGAGTATTGCTCATCCGCCTGTGAGTATTGCTCATCCGCCTGTGAGTATTGCTCATCCGCCTGTGAGTATTGCTCATCCGCCTGTGAGTATTGCTCATCCGCCTGTGAGTATTGCTCATCCGCCTGTGAGTATTGCTCATCCGCCTGTGAGTATTGCTCATCCGCCTGTGAGTATTGCTCATCCGCCTGTGAGTATTGCTCATCCGCCTGTGAGTATTGCTCACCTATATGCTGCCGCGTTGGGCTCTCCGTCATCACTTCTTTCCTGCCTGTGCGTGCTGCAAAAACCCGTCATCACACCGTTTCCTTGGTTCTGTCATCCTCTCCTCTATCTCCCCCTCTTGTACTCTCGCGTAACCCTCCCTGCTGAACCTGCTGTCTCCCCCCTCTGTGCTGAACCTGCTGTCGCCCCCCTCTGTGCTGAACCTGCTGTCGCCCCCCTCTGTGCTGAACCTGCTGTCGCCCCCCTCTGTGCTGAACCTGCTGTCGCCCCCCTCTGTGCTGAACCTGCTGTCGCCCCCCTCTGTGCTGAACCTGCTGTCGCCCCGCCGCCCACATCCCTGGGAGGCGGAAGAATTTCCTCGTTGACACAGCGGAGCGGTGGACAGGCGTTGTGTTCTTCCAATGTTTTTTCCACTTGCACCTTGTACTTCCACTTGTTCTCATCGCTCCTACGTGCCTCACCTTTAAGCGTGGCAGCTGGAATGTGCTGTGTGTATGATATGGCAGTGGACGTGCACCACCACGTTTCTGCTCCGCCCCATGCCATTCCTCCCTTCTCAATGGCCATCCTTCCCATCCCACCTCAGTGACCCTCTGCTCCGCCCTCAGTGACCCTCTGCTCCGCCCTCAGTGACCCTCTGCTCCGCCCTCTCACCACACCCCCTCTCCCCTCTTGCAGCTGGAACGTGCCGTGGGACATGGCGGTGGACGTGCCGTGGGACATGGCGGTGGACGTGCCGTGGGACATGGCGGTGGACGTGCCGTGGGACATGGCGGTGGACGTGCGCTACAACCACATCTGTGGTCTGCCCCACCCCATGCCATGCCGTCCCTCCCTTCTCAATGCCTCCTTGCTCAACCCTCTCATTCTCCCTCCTTCACGCCCCTCGCAGTTGGAACGTGCTGTGGGACATGGCAGTGGACGTGCGCAATGACTACATCTCTGCTCGGCTCCATGCCATCCCTCGCTTCTCAGCCCTCCCTTCCTTGCATTTCCCCGTTTTTATGACTATCAGCTGGAACGTGCTGTGGGACATGGCAGTGGACGTGCGGTACGACTACATCTCCACCAGTGTGCACAAGTTCGCCCTCCTCATCCTCTTCGCCGCCCACTGGTCCGCCTGTGTCTTCTTCCTCCTCGCGCGCGTGCGCAACTTCAGCGAGGACACGGTGAGCTGCCTGTTGCGCTGCATTTTGTGCATGTGTGTGCTTTTCTGTAGTAGTCATTATGTTCGCTCGCACCGGCCCTCCGGAGTGGGCTGCATGCTGGGCTCCAGCCTGCCAGCCTGCCAGCCTGCCAGCCTGCCAGCCTGTCAGCCTGCCCTCATCCCTGTATTTCTTGCTCAACCGCTCCACATCCCCTCATCCCCACATCCCCACATCCCCCATCCCCAGTGGGTGGGGCACTGTGAGCCGGACCTGCCTCTGCGCCCTCCCCTTGACGCCTACGTCACATCCATTTACTGGTGCGCTGCTGCTGCCTGCTCCCCTGGTTCTCACGCTCTAGAAGTTGCAGTCATCCATTCGTATGTGTGCGACCGAATCTCCTCATCTCAGTCTACCACCCCTCCGCATGCGCATACTCCCCTTCACTGCAATATTCCATGGTAGCCTCGAAATCTCTTCTCGGGACATCAATGGTACCAAGGAATCCATTGTTCTCCCGTATTGTTCTCTGCTAACACTCTCTTGTATTCTCTTCTCGCGTAGCAGCATTTGCCACGGCATGCCAGTCGTAGCAGCATTTGCCACGGCATGCCAGTCGTAGCAGCATTTGCCACGGCATGCCAGTCGTAGCAGCATTTGCCACGGCATGCCAGTCGTAGCAGCATTTGCCACGGCATGCCAGTCGTAGCAGCATTTGCCACGGCATGCCAGTCGTAGCAGCATTTGCCACGGCATGCCAGTCGTAGCAGCATTTGCCACGGCATGCCAGTCGTAGCAGCATTTGCCACGGCATGCCAGTCGTAGCAGCATTTGCCACGGCATGCCAGTCGTAGCAGCATTTGCCACGGCATGCCAGTCGTAGCAGCATCTCCATTGCCTTGCCCCTCACGCCACCTGCCATTCAATGTGCGTCTCCCTTGCTTTGCCCGTCCCATCCTCTTGCCCGCATCCTCTTGCCCGCATCCTCGTCGTTACCTCCATCCTTTCTCGTTGGATGGTGCCTGCCTGGTCGTCACCAATTGATCACGGGTTCTCCTGGATGGGACGATCCTCTGCCGTGCCGTGCCGTGCCATAACGTGCCGTGCCATGGTGTGCTGCGGTGTGCTGCGTTCTGCTGGTCCTCGTGGTCCCTCTCAGGGCGATGACCACCCTCTCCACCACAGGTACTGCACCACAGGTACTCCACCACAGGTACTCTCATGCTCAAGTGAGTGTCTGTGAGCGGATGCGAGGGCAAGAGAGTGCATGTGAGCGGATGCGAGGGCAAGAGAGTGCATGTGAGCGGATGCGAGGGCAAGAGAGTGCATGTGAGCGGATGCGAGGGCAAGAGAGTGCATGTGAGCGGATGCGAGGGCAAGAGAGTGCATGTGAGCGGATGCGAGGGCAAGAGAGTGCATGTGAGCGGATGCGAGGGCAAGAGAGTGCATGTGAGCGGATGCGAGGGCAAGAGAGTGCATGTGAGCGGATGCGAGGGCAAGAGAGTGCATGTGAGCGGATGCGAGGGCAAGAGAGTGCATGTGAGCGGATGCAAGGGCAAGAGAGTGCATGTGAGCGGATGCGAGGGCAAGAGAGTGCATGTGAGCGGATGCGAGGGCAAGAGAGTGCATGTGAGCGGATGCGAGGGCAAGAGAGTGCATGTGAGCGGATGCGAGGGCAAGAGAGTGCATGTGAGCGGATGCGAGGGCAAGAGAGTGCATGTGAGCGGATGCGAGGGCAAGAGAGTGCATGTGAGCGGATGCAAGGGCAAGAGAGTGCATGTGAGCGGATGCGAGGGCAAGAGAGTGCATGTGAGCGGATGCGAGGGCAAGTGAGTGGATGCACCCTGCTCATGCACCACTTCTCTCCCCCGGCTCATGCACCACTTCTCTCCCCCTGCTCATGCACCACTTCTCTCCCCCCGCTCTTCTCAACTCATAAGCCCCTCATACCACTCCACCATGCTCCTCTTCTGCTGCTCTGCTCTCCCCACCACCCCCCCCTGCAGGCTACGGCGACCTGTCAGCCTTCACAGTGCCGGAGCGCATCTGGGCGGCGCTCTTCATGCTGGTGAATCTGGGCCTCACGGCGTACGTGCTGGGCAACATGACCGTGCTGCTCACCAAGGCCGACGCCCACACCGCCACCTACCGCGACCGCCTCGCTGCCATCAATAGGTGGGCCATGCATGCTGTGTGTGGGGGGAGGAGATGGGGAGGCCTAATGTGTGTTTGCGGGTATGTGTGCTTGTTGAGATAAATTCAAGTGAAAGGGAGACGTATAAGTGGGGAAGGATGGGTTCAACCAAAGCTGAGTTAGGCAGCCTGATCGACTGACCAGTAGGTCCATCCATACGGTCATCCCATCCCACTTCTTGATCCCAACTCCCCTTGATCGAGCCGTTTGATCCTTCTGCATGCCTCATCCCCCCCAGGTACATGCGCGCACATGTGGTGCCGGCCTCACTGCAGGAGCAGGTGCAGGCGCACCTCAAGCTGCACTTCGACACGGCGGAGGTGAGAGGGAGGGCATAGCAAGTAATTCTACGGGGTCTCGTGTGGGGGTGGGTGAGTGGGGGAGGGTGAGTGGGGGAGGGTGAGTGGGGGTGGGTGAGTGGGGGAGGGTGAGTGGGTGCAGAGACCAGCGGGGTGGTGTGGACTCCAATGTCACTGCCCAAACTTCCCGCTGTTGTGTGAGTGTGCAAGTTTGCTGCCACGTATCAAAGCCATGGCTCCTAACTGGGGCTCCTAACTGGGGCTCCTAACTGGGGCTCCTAGCTGGGGCTCGATTGGACTCACTGTCCATCTTCCTGGTGTTGCGTGTGCGTGCATCCATGTCGCCATGCGTATATGCGCCTGTGTGCATGCGTGTGTGCATGCATGCGTGCAGGTGAGGGACGATGTGTTGCTGCACTGCCCATCATCGGTGCGCACGCTGGTGAAGCGCCACGTGTACTCGCGCTTCGTCAACTCCTCCTACCTCTTCGCCGGCACCTCCAACGTCTTCCGCGTGAGTCCCCCGCCCCACCTTGTGCTCACTCCGCCCTGACCTCTTCCCTTGCATGTGCCCCTCTCGCTTGCTTCGTCAACTCCTACCTTTTCACCGGCACCTCCAATGTCTTCCGCGTGAGTCACCGCACTCTCATGCCCATCTGCCCCCCGCCTATTCGCCTGCTCCCACACCTCCCCCCCCATGCGTCACATCCCATGCGACCCCTCCCATACGACTCACCCTGTCTCCCTATACCGTTTGACCTGTCTGTATCACCCTGTCTCCCTATACCGTTTGACCTGTATCACCCTGTCTCCCTATACCGTTTGACCTGTATCACCCTGTCTCCCTATTCCGTTTGACCTGTATCACCCTGTCTCCCTATACCGTTTGACCTGTATCACCCTGTCTCCCTATACCGTTTGACCTGTATCACCCTTATCTCCTGTATTCCACACGCAAGTGTTTGCGCCAAGGCTGCTTGTCCCAAGCTCATTGCATACTCCCTTACTCACAACCACTCTTAAAACCGTTCTCATCCCCCCAACCCACCATGTGTGTGCGTGCGTGTGTGCAAACGTGCCTGCAGGACCAAGTGACGACGCGGGCCAATGTGGATTTCTTCCTGCCACACGTGGACCTGGTGGCAGCCGGCAACAGCACCACGGAGCTGCTCATCATCGCCTCGGGGCAGGCGCAGGTGCGTGCTTCACAGCACTTGCAGGGATGTGGGTCAGGCAGGGGTGTGGGTGCAGGCAGGGGTGTGGGTGCAGCGCAGGCTGTGGTGTTGGCTAAGGTGGTGATGTGGAGAGTCTGCGCAGCTTATGCTCTGCTTGTCACTCTCTCTCTCTCTCACCCTCCCGCACTCAGGTGCTGGTGTGTGACAAGGTCGGCAATGAGATTCGTGGTTCGTTTTGCTCCCGTTCTCCTCCCAGCAATGCCCGTTCTCTCTTATACCCCCCACCCCTGGTTCTCTGTCCTCTCGCTCTCCTGTCCTCAGGTGCTGGTGCGGGACAAGGATGGCAACGAGGTGCAGTGGTTTGTGCTGCATGAGGGGGACTGCGTGGGAGGTGAGCTGTGCAAGGCAGGGGGCCATGCTGGGAGCAAAGGGGGTGGCTGAAAGTTATGGAGCTCAGCAGATAGAAGGGGGTGAGCTGAGAGCAGGGGGGTGAGCTGAGAGCAGGGGGGTTGGAGGCGAAGGGGGGTTGGAGGCGAAGGTGGGTTGGAGGCGAAGGTGGGTTGGAGGCGAAGGTGGGTTGGAGGCGAAGGTGGGTATTACCAAGCCTAATGACTGCCCTGCACTACCTCCACTCCACCCCGCCTGATAAGTGGTATTTCTTTCTGTAACGGACTCAAACACACATGCTCCCTACCCTTTACCCTTTTTGTTCTCTTTCAATCTTTCTCAGAGGTCACGTATGCTTCTGCTTCACGATCTGGCAGATGATACCTTTCTGGGAGATGATACCTTTCTGGCAGATGATACCTTTCTGGCAGATGATACCTTTCTGGCAGATGATACCTTTCTGGCAGATGATACCTTTCTGGCAGATGATACCTTTCTGGCAGATGATACCTTTCTGGCAGATGATACCTTTCTGGCAGATGATACCTTTCTGGCAGATGATACCTTTCTGTGCGGCTTTATGGAGCTGTGGTGTACAGCACCTTCTTCTATTTGTTGGGTCAATTCATCTCAGAGTCATGTGCTCTTCTTATTCTCGCCTAGTCTTGTCACCCTTTGCCCCTCCTCTCCGACGTGCACTGCATCCGCCGTTCGAGTGCGGCCTGATGTAGCTGTGGGACAGGCTTCCTTCCCCACTCCATTCACCAGAGATCGCCTTCCTGTGCGACCTCACGGAGCTGTGGACGGTGCGCACGCTGTCGGTGTGTCGGGTGCTCTCCATCTCACGAGACGACTACCGCTCCGTGGCTCGCACCCACCCCGCTGACGACCGCCACGTCATCGCCAACCTGCTCAACCGGTAAGTGGGTGCTGTGCCCCATCCACGACCCACCCACCACACCCATCCTCATTGGCCTCCCCTCAAGGTTCGCAGCAGGGCGGAGCGGAGCCAGCAGCGTGCTTCACCACGTGCCATCCCCCATCCACTCCCCACGCTCTTGCTCACCACACAAGGAATGCAGCTGAGGGAAGGCGACAGCATGCCTTTACCCCTCAGTTGCGTGCGTTCACCGCACCTTACCTTACATACCCCCCCGTCATCAACCCTCCCTCTTCTCCTCATTCATGACGTGTGCAGGGCGCGCAGCAGGGCGGAGGCGACAGCACGGTTCTACCCCGGCAACAGCACCATGGCGGAGCTGTCTCTACTGCTCAAGAACGAGGTCGAGGTGAGTTGGTGGGGGGGGAGTGGCATGGCAGCATGGCAGCATGGCAGCATGGCATGGGGGAGGGGACATGCGGGGTGTGAGCAGGGGGCGGACACCTGGTGCAGTGCAGGGCTCAGGAGACGCTGTGACCATCTGTAGTGTTAACCCCGCCCCCCTCTCTCCACTGTCCCACCCACTCCCCCCTTTTCCCCAGTCGTTCCGCAACCGCCTGGTGCAGGAGACGCTGATGAACCTGTGCTACGCGGCCAAGCGCGGCGACATGCTGGAGTGCTTCCGCCTCGCTGCTGGCGGCTTTGATGTGGCCGCTGCTGACTACGATGGCCGCACACCCATGGTGAGATTAGTGCAGAAAGTTCCATTAGCTAAATAACCAGGTTTGCCCTTGTGATGTTCTGGGCTGAGTCACTCAGCTCGAGTGGGATGGCAGGACGCCCATGGTGGTGCACCTCTGACTTCTTTCCTCCGCCGCACGATGATTTGAGTGATCGCTACAAAGCATTCTGACCTTTCACATAATGTTCCATCCCCCACCTTCCCCCACGTCACCTCTTCTTTGTCCCTATCCATGACCAGCATCTAGCAGCAGTGACAGGGCAGGACAAGGTGGTGCAGTTCCTGCTGGCGCACGGCGCGCAGGTGAACGCCAAGGACGCCTTCTGGCGCACCCCCCTGCAGGAGGCCGTTGCTGCCGGCCACTGGAGCACCGCTGAGATCCTCCGCAGGTCAGTGCACCGCCCACCGCTCTCTGCCACTTCTCTGCCACTGCTCTGCCGCTGCTCTGCCAGGCTCCTTGGAAGGTCAGCCCACCCTGCTGTGCACTGCGGTGCCATGCCATCTGTAGTGTGCACTACCACTGGAGCACTACTGACATCCTCCGCACCTCATTGCTTTCTGCCACTGCTCTGCCACTGCTGTGCCACTGCTCTGCCACTGCCAGGCTCCTCGGAAGGCACAAGGTCAGCCCGCCCTGCTGTGCTCTGTGGTGCCATGTGTAGTGTGCCCTCCTCGCTCCTCATGTGTAGTGTGCCCTCCTCGCTCCTCATGTGTAGTGTGCCCTCCTCGCTCCTCATGTGTAGTGTGCCCTCCTCGCTCCTCATGTGTAGTGTGCCCTCCTCGCTCCTCATGTGTAGTGTGCCCTCCTCGCTCCTCATGTGTAGTGTGCCCTCCTCGCTCCTCATGTGTAGTGTGCCCTCCTCGCTCCTCATGTGTAGTGTGCCCTCCTCGCTCCTCATGTGTAGTGTGCCCTCCTCGCTCCTCATGTGTAGTGTGCCCTCCTCGCTCCTCATGTGTAGTGTGCCCTCCTCGCTCCTCATGTGTAGTGTGCCCTCCTCGCTCCTCATGTGTAGTGTGCCCTCCTCGCTCCTCATGTGTAGTGTGCCCTCCTCGCTCCTCATGTGTAGTGTGCCCTCCTCGCTCCTCATGTGTAGTGTGCCCTCCTCGCTCCTCATGTGTAGTGTGCCCTTCTCGCTCCTCATGTGTAGTGTGCCCTCCTCGCTCCTCATGTGTAGTGTGCCCTTCTCGCTCCTCATGTGTAGTGTGCCCTCCTCGCTCCTCATGTGTAGTGTGCCCTCCTCGCTCCTCATGTGTAGTGTGCCCTCCTCGCTCCTCATGTGTAGTGTGCCCTCCTCGCTCCTCATGTGTAGTGTGCCCTCCTCGCTCCTCATGTGTAGTGTGCCCTCCTCGCTCCTCATGTGTAGTGTGCCCTCCTCGCTCCTCATGTGTAGTGTGCCCTCCTGCTCCTCATGTGTAGTGTGCCCTCCTCGCTCCTCATGTGTAGTGTGCCCTCCTCGCTCCTCATGTGTAGTGTGCCCTCCTCGCTCCTCATGTGTAGTGTGCCCTCCTCGCTCCTCATGTGTAGTGTGCCCTCCTCGCTCCTCATGTGTAGTGTGCCCTCCTCGCTCCTCATGTGTAGTGTGCCCTCCTCGCTCCTCATGTGTAGTGTGCCCTCCTCGCTCCTCATGTGTAGTGTGCCCTCCTCGCTCCTCATGTGTAGTGTGCCCTCCTCGCTCCTCATGTGTAGTGTGCCCTCTCGCTCCTCATGTGTAGTGTGCCCTCCTCGCTCCTCATGTGTAGTGTGCCCTCCTCGCTCCTCATGTGTAGTGTGCCCTCCTCGCTCCTCATGTGTAGTGTGCCCTCCTCGCTCCTCATGTGTAGTGTGCCCTCCTCGCTCCTCATGTGTAGTGTGCCCTCCTCGCTCCTCATGTGTAGTGTGCCCTCCTCGCTCCTCATGTGTAGTGTGCCCTCCTCGCTCCTCATGTGTAGTGTGCCCTCCTCGCTCCTCATGTGTAGTGTGCCCTCCTCGCTCCTCATGTGTAGTGTGCCCTCCTCGCTCCTCATGTGTAGTGTGCCCTCCTCGCTCCTCATGTGTAGTGTGCCCTCCTCGCTCCTCATGTGTAGTGTGCCCTCCTCGCTCCTCATGTGTAGTGTGCCCTCCTCGCTCCTCATGTGTAGTGTGCCCTCCTCGCTCCTCATGTGTAGTGTGCCCTCCTCGCTCCTCATGTGTAGTGTGCCCTCCTCGCTCCTCATGTGTAGTGTGCCCTCCTCGCTCCTCATGTGTAGTGTGCCCTCCTCGCTCCTCATGTGTAGTGTGCCCTCCTCGCTCCTCATGTGTAGTGTGCCCTCCTCGCTCCTCATGTGTAGTGTGCCCTCCTCGCTCCTCATGTGTAGTGTGCCCTCCTCGCTCCTCATGTGTAGTGTGCCCTCCTCGCTCCTCATGTGTAGTGTGCCCTCCTCGCTCCTCATGTGTAGTGTGCCCTCCTCGCTCCTCATGTGTAGTGTGCCCTCCTCGCTCCTCATGTGTAGTGTGCCCTCCTCGCTCCTCATGTGTAGTGTGCCCTCCTCGCTCCTCATGTGTAGTGTGCCCTCCTCGCTCCTCATGTGTAGTGTGCCCTCCTCGCTCCTCATGTGTAGTGTGCCCTCTCGCTCCTCATGTGTAGTGTGCCCTCCTCGCTCCTCATGTGTAGTGTGCCCTCCTCGCTCCTCATGTGTAGTGTGCCCTCCTCGCTCCTCATGTGTAGTGTGCCCTCCTCGCTCCTCATGTGTAGTGTGCCCTCCTCGCTCCTCATGTGTAGTGTGCCCTCCTCGCTCCTCATGTGTAGTGTGCCCTCCTCGCTCCTCATGTGTAGTGTGCCCTCCTCGCTCCTCATGTGTAGTGTGCCCTCCTCGCTCCTCATGTGTAGTGTGCCCTCCTCGCTCCTCATGTGTAGTGTGCCCTCCTCGCTCCTCATGTGTAGTGTGCCCTCCTCGCTCCTCATGTGTAGTGTGCCCTCCTCGCTCCTCATGTGTAGTGTGCCCTCCTCGCTCCTCATGTGTAGTGTGCCCTCCTCGCTCCTCATGTGTAGTGTGCCCTCCTCGCTCCTCATGTGTAGTGTGCCCTCCTCGCTCCTCATGTGTAGTGTGCCCTCCTCGCTCCTCATGTGTAGTGTGCCCTCCTCGCTCCTCATGTGTAGTGTGCCCTCCTCGCTCCTCATGTGTAGTGTGCCCTCCTCGCTCCTCATGTGTAGTGTGCCCTCCTCGCTCCTCATGTGTAGTGTGCCCTCCTCGCTCCTCATGTGTAGTGTGCCCTCCTCGCTCCTCATGTGTAGTGTGCCCTCCTCGCTCCTCATGTGTAGTGTGCCCTCCTCGCTCCTCATGTGTAGTGTGCCCTCCTCGCTCCTCATGTGTAGTGTGCCCTCCTCGCTCCTCATGTGTAGTGTGCCCTCCTCGCTCCTCATGTGTAGTGTGCCCTCCTCGCTCCTCATGTGTAGTGTGCCCTCCTCGCTCCTCATGTGTAGTGTGCCCTCCTCGCTCCTCATGTGTAGTGTGCCCTCCTCGCTCCTCATGTGTAGTGTGCCCTCCTCGCTCCTCATGTGTAGTGTGCCCTCCTCGCTCCTCATGTGTAGTGTGCCCTCCTCGCTCCTCATGTGTAGTGTGCCCTCCTCGCTCCTCATGTGTAGTGTGCCCTCCTCGCTCCTCATGTGTAGTGTGCCCTCTCGCTCCTCATGTGTAGTGTGCCCTCCTCGCTCCTCATGTGTAGTGTGCCCTCCTCGCTCCTCATGTGTAGTGTGCCCTCCTCGCTCCTCATGTGTAGTGTGCCCTCCTCGCTCCTCATGTGTAGTGTGCCCTCCTCGCTCCTCATGTGTAGTGTGCCCTCCTCGCTCCTCATGTGTAGTGTGCCCTCCTCGCTCCTCATGTGTAGTGTGCCCTCCTCGCTCCTCATGTGTAGTGTGCCCTCCTCGCTCCTCATGTGTAGTGTGCCCTCCTCGCTCCTCATGTGTAGTGTGCCCTCCTCGCTCCTCATGTGTAGTGTGCCCTCCTCGCTCCTCATGTGTAGTGTGCCCTCCTCGCTCCTCATGTGTAGTGTGCCCTCCTCGCTCCTCATGTGTAGTGTGCCCTCCTCGCTCCTCATGTGTAGTGTGCCCTCCTCGCTCCTCATGTTTAGTGTGCCCTCCTCGCTCCTCATGTGTAGTGTGCCCTCCTCGCTCCTCATGTGTAGTGTGCCCTCCTCGCTCCTCATGTGTAGTGTGCCCTCCTCGCTCCTCATGTGTAGTGTGCCCTCCTCGCTCCTCATGTGTAGTGTGCCCTCCTCGCTCCTCATGTGTAGTGTGCCCTCTCGCTCCTCATGTGTAGTGTGCCCTCCTCGCTCCTCATGTGTAGTGTGCCCTCCTCGCTCCTCATGTGTAGTGTGCCCTCTCGCTCCTCATGTGTAGTGTGCCCTCCTCGCTCCTCATGTGTAGTGTGCCCTCCTCGCTCCTCATGTGTAGTGTGCCCTCCTCGCTCCTCATGTGTAGTGTGCCCTCCTCGCTCCTCATGTGTAGTGTGCCCTCCTCGCTCCTCATGTGTAGTGTGCCCTCCTCGCTCCTCATGTGTAGTGTGCCCTCCTCGCTCCTCATGTGTAGTGTGCCCTCCTCGCTCCTCATGTGTAGTGTGCCCTCCTCGCTCCTCATGTGTAGTGTGCCCTTCTCGCTCCTCATGTGTAGTGTGCCCTCCTCGCTCCTCATGTGTAGTGTGCCCTCCTCGCTCCTCATGTGTAGTGTGCCCTCCTCGCTCCTCATGTGTAGTGTGCCCTCCTCGCTCCTCATGTGTAGTGTGCCCTCCTCGCTCCTCATGTGTAGTGTGCCCTCCTCGCTCCTCATGTGTAGTGTGCCCTCCTCGCTCCTCATGTGTAGTGTGCCCTCCTCGCTCCTCATGTGTAGTGTGCCCTCCTCGCTCCTCATGTGTAGTGTGCCCTCCTCGCTCCTCATGTGTAGTGTGCCCTCCTCGCTCCTCATGTGTAGTGTGCCCTCCTCGCTCCTCATGTGTAGTGTGCCCTCCTCGCTCCTCATGTGTAGTGTGCCCTCCTCGCTCCTCATGTGTAGTGTGCCCTCCTCGCTCCTCATGTGTAGTGTGCCCTCCTCGCTCCTCATGTTAGTGTGCCCTCCTCGCTCCTCATGTGTAGTGTGCCCTCCTCGCTCCTCATGTGTAGTGTGCCCTCCTCGCTCCTCATGTGTAGTGTGCCCTCCTCGCTCCTCATGTGTAGTGTGCCCTCCTCGCTCCTCATGTGTAGTGTGCCCTCCTCGCTCCTCATGTGTAGTGTGCCCTTCTCGCTCCTCATGTGTAGTGTGCCCTCCTCGCTCCTCATGTGTAGTGTGCCCTCCTCGCTCCTCATGTGTAGTGTGCCCTTCTCGCTCCTCATGTGTAGTGTGCCCTCCTCGCTCCTCATGTGTAGTGTGCCCTCCTCGCTCCTCATGTGTAGTGTGCCCTCCTCGCTCCTCATGTGTAGTGTGCCCTCCTCGCTCCTCATGTGTAGTGTGCCCTCCTCGCTCCTCATGTGTAGTGTGCCCTCCTCGCTCCTCATGTGTAGTGTGCCCTCCTCGCTCCTCATGTTTAGTGTGCCCTCCTCGCTCCTCATGTGTAGTGTGCCCTCCTCGCTCCTCATGTGTAGTGTGCCCTCCTCGCTCCTCATGTGTAGTGTGCCCTCCTCGCTCCTCATGTGTAGTGTGCCCTCCTCGCTCCTCATGTGTAGTGTGCCCTCCTCGCTCCTCATGTGTAGTGTGCCCTCCTCGCTCCTCATGTGTAGTGTGCCCTCCTCGCTCCTCATGTGTAGTGTGCCCTCCTTGCTCCTCATGTGTAGTGTGCCCTCCTCGCTCCTCATGTGTAGTGTGCCCTCCTCGCTCCTCATGTGTAGTGTGCCCTCCTCGCTCCTCATGTGTAGTGTGCCCTCCTCGCTCCTCATGTGTAGTGTGCCCTCCTCGCTCCTCATGTGTAGTGTGCCCTCCTCGCTCCTCATGTGTAGTGTGCCCTCCTCGCTCCTCATGTGTAGTGTGCCCTCCTCGCTCCTCATGTGTAGTGTGCCCTCCTCGCTCCTCATGTGTAGTGTGCCCTCCTCGCTCCTCATGTGTAGTGTGCCCTTCTCGCTCCTCATGTGTAGTGTGCCCTCCTCGCTCCTCATGTGTAGTGTGCCCTCCTCGCTCCTCATGTGTAGTGTGCCCTCCTCGCTCCTCATGTGTAGTGTGCCCTCCTCGCTCCTCATGTGTAGTGTGCCCTCCTCGCTCCTCATGTGTAGTGTGCCCTCCTCGCTCCTCATGTGTAGTGTGCCCTCCTCGCTCCTCATGTGTAGTGTGCCCTCCTCGCTCCTCATGTGTAGTGTGCCCTCCTCGCTCCTCATGTGTAGTGTGCCCTCCTCGCTCCTCATGTGTAGTGTGCCCTCCTCGCTCCTCATGTGTAGTGTGCCCTCCTCGCTCCTCATGTGTAGTGTGCCCTCCTCGCTCCTCATGTGTAGTGTGCCCTCCTCGCTCCTCATGTGTAGTGTGCCCTTCTCGCTCCTCATGTGTAGTGTGCCCTCCTCGCTCCTCATGTGTAGTGTGCCCTCCTCGCTCCTCATGTGTAGTGTGCCCTCCTCGCTCCTCATGTGTAGTGTGCCCTCCTCGCTCCTCATGTGTAGTGTGCCCTCCTCGCTCCTCATGTGTAGTGTGCCCTCCTCGCTCCTCATGTGTAGTGTGCCCTCCTCGCTCCTCATGTGTAGTGTGCCCTCCTTGCTCCTCATGTGTAGTGTGCCCTCCTCGCTCCTCATGTGTAGTGTGCCCTCCTCGCTCCTCATGTGTAGTGTGCCCTCCTCGCTCCTCATGTGTAGTGTGCCCTCCTCGCTCCTCATGTGTAGTGTGCCCTCCTCGCTCCTCATGTGTAGTGTGCCCTCCTCGCTCCTCATGTGTAGTGTGCCCTCCTCGCTCCTCATGTGTAGTGTGCCCTCCTCGCTCCTCATGTGTAGTGTGCCCTCCTCGCTCCTCATGTGTAGTGTGCCCTCCTCGCTCCTCATGTGTAGTGTGCCCTTCTCGCTCCTCATGTGTAGTGTGCCCTCCTCGCTCCTCATGTGTAGTGTGCCCTCCTCGCTCCTCATGTGTAGTGTGCCCTCCTCGCTCCTCATGTGTAGTGTGCCCTCCTCGCTCCTCATGTGTAGTGTGCCCTCCTCGCTCCTCATGTGTAGTGTGCCCTCCTCGCTCCTCATGTGTAGTGTGCCCTCCTCGCTCCTCATGTGTAGTGTGCCCTCCTCGCTCCTCATGTGTAGTGTGCCCTCCTCGCTCCTCATGTGTAGTGTGCCCTCCTCGCTCCTCATGTGTAGTGTGCCCTCCTCGCTCCTCATGTGTAGTGTGCCCTCCTCGCTCCTCATGTGTAGTGTGCCCTCCTCGCTCCTCATGTGTAGTGTGCCCTCCTCGCTCCTCATGTGTAGTGTGCCCTCCTCGCTCCTCATGTGTAGTGTGCCCTCCTCGCTCCTCATGTTTAGTGTGCCCTCCTCGCTCCTCATGTGTAGTGTGCCCTCCTCGCTCCTCATGTGTAGTGTGCCCTCCTCGCTCCTCATGTGTAGTGTGCCCTCCTCGCTCCTCATGTGTAGTGTGCCCTCCTCGCTCCTCATGTGTAGTGTGCCCTCCTCGCTCCTCATGTGTAGTGTGCCCTTCTCGCTCCTCATGTGTAGTGTGCCCTCCTCGCTCCTCATGTGTAGTGTGCCCTCCTCGCTCCTCATGTGTAGTGTGCCCTTCTCGCTCCTCATGTGTAGTGTGCCCTCCTCGCTCCTCATGTGTAGTGTGCCCTCCTCGCTCCTCATGTGTAGTGTGCCCTCCTCGCTCCTCATGTGTAGTGTGCCCTCCTCGCTCCTCATGTGTAGTGTGCCCTCCTCGCTCCTCATGTGTAGTGTGCCCTCCTCGCTCCTCATGTGTAGTGTGCCCTCCTCGCTCCTCATGTGTAGTGTGCCCTCCTCGCTCCTCATGTGTAGTGTGCCCTCCTCGCTCCTCATGTGTAGTGTGCCCTCCTCGCTCCTCATGTGTAGTGTGCCCTCCTCGCTCCTCATGTGTAGTGTGCCCTCCTCGCTCCTCATGTGTAGTGTGCCCTCCTCGCTCCTCATGTGTAGTGTGCCCTCCTCGCTCCTCATGTGTAGTGTGCCCTCCTCGCTCCTCATGTGTAGTGTGCCCTCCTCGCTCCTCATGTGTAGTGTGCCCTCCTCGCTCCTCATGTGTAGTGTGCCCTCCTCGCTCCTCATGTGTAGTGTGCCCTCCTCGCTCCTCATGTGTAGTGTGCCCTCCTCGCTCCTCATGTGTAGTGTGCCCTCCTCGCTCCTCATGTGTAGTGTGCCCTCCTCGCTCCTCATGTGTAGTCTCAGGAAGCACACGTGCCACCTCGCCTGCTCCACCACCACCACAACCCGCCGGCGCAGCTTTCACTCCCCCTCTCTTTCCCCCTTCCAGTCCTGCAGATGAGCCCATCCATACACTCCTGTTTTTGCGTACCTGCAAGGCACTCGCTTGTGAGGACTTATCGGTCCCTGCAGGGGAAGGGGTGTCAAGTCAAGGCCTGCCAATTCCCGCCAGCTTCCCCGGCTGCCCGAGCTGCTTCACACTCCTTTCACTCCACTCACACTTCCCCTCTCCTCTCCCCCGCTTCTCCTCCCCTCTCCCCCTATCTTGTTCTCCCCTTGTCCACTCCCCCTCTCGTCCCCCCCTCGCCCCTACCCCCGTCCAGTCCCCCTCACCTAGGTTCACATATGAGCTCCACCAGGGAAGAGCGTGTGTGCACTTCCCAACCCAGCCAGCTCAATCTGAGGCGTCCAGAAGCAGTGCTGTGTGTGCAGCTCCTCCCTCCAGTGCAGCTCCTCCCTCCACTGCACACACCTCTGCCACCTTGCCCAACTCGCACCTGCTGGCCCATTCGCCAATGCTCGGACCCCACATCCACGCTCATCCCCACCTCCATGCTCTCCCCTCTCTCTCCCTGCTCTCCCCCCATCCCTTACCCCTCTCCCCATCTCCTGATCTTTCCCTGTCCCCTCTCTCCCTCACCTCCCTCCCCTCTTCCCCACTCCCAACAGCAACGGCGGCGACCAGGGCATGCACCTGTGCTGCCTTGCCAGCTCGTCCAACTCGCACCAGCTGGCGCATATGGCAATGCTCGTACAACACATTCCCGCTCACCCCCACTGTATGCTCCCCCTCTCTTACCCGCTCTTCCCCCGTCCCTTTCCCCCCTTCTCCTCCCCTCTCCTCGCTCCCTTCCCCTCCACCCCCCCCCTGCAGCAACGGGGGCGAGCTGCATCTGCGCAACCAGGGCACGCATCTGTGCCGCCTGGCCAGCTCGTCCAACTCGCACCAGCTGGCGCGGCTGCTGGAGTTCGGCGCCGACCCCAACGCCGCTGACTACGACGGCCGCACCGCGCTGCACGTGGCGGCTGCTGAGGGGCACCTCAACGTGGTCAAGGTGAGTGAATGAAAGTCAGTGGGGTTAACGGAGATCAATGGGGATCAATGGGGATCAACGGAGGTCAACGGATGTAAACGCAGGTCAACGGAGGTCAAGGAGGGTCAACGGAGGTCAACGAGGGTCAACGGAGGTCAACGGGGGTCCATGATAATTGTTAAACCTCAACGCACGTGTCTGCTGTTTAGGTCCACCCCTACGTGGTCAAGTTGGGTCAAGACAAGTTAGTCAAGGTAAGGCAAGGCGGGTCCACATGAGTCAATGTGGTCAACATGATTCAGGTTCTGCGGCAGGGGGTGGTGGGGTGGAGGATGTGTGAGTCCCAGTGTGCGGGGTACACCGCATGAAACAAAATTGCACCCACGTCTTCCTCCCTCCCAAAAATTCCAACTCTCAGGTTCTGCTGCAAGGGGGGGCGAGCCCGAGTTTGAGGGACCGGTGGCAGCGCACGCCTATGGACGAGGCAAGGGACAACAACCACACCGTGGTGGTCGCCACTCTGCTGCGCGCTGCTGCCTCCGCCACCCCCACTCCCAGCCCCCGCTCTCCCATCCCTCCCCCTTCTGCTCCTGCTCCTGCTGCTGGTTCTCCTGCAAATATTCCTGCTACTCCTCCTCCTCCTCCTCCTCCTCCTCCTGCTGCTGCTGCTGCTGCTGCTGCTGCTGGCGGTGCTTCTTCATCCCATGCCAGCCCAATTCCTCCTCCTCGTGCCCCTCCTCCGTCTCCTGCCGCTCCTCCTGCTGTGGCCTCTAATGTTGCACCTTCCTCCCCCACTGCACCCTCTCCTCCCACTACCGCCTTGCCACTAGCTGTTTCTCCCATTCCTTCCGCCATGCCCGCACTTGCATCAGAGGCAAAGGCAAGGGTCGTGCTGCCAAGCCAAGCCACTGAGAGACAACCAGCAGCAAATGCACTGGTTCTTGAATCTCCTGCCGTGACTGTGCGACCTTCCGATGCTCCTGCTGTGGATTCCAGCAGTTGTACCAGTAGCAGTAGCAGCAGTGCTGCCAGTAGGGGTAGGGGGAGTGGTGGCGGAGTTGAGCTTGCTTTGACTGTTGCGGCTGCCCCCATTTGTGAATCGGTCAAGCATAAGGGGGATGTGAGAGGGCACAGTGTGGCAGATGGTGCTGATGCGTTGACAGTGGTGCCGCCAGCTGCAATGGCTGCAGCAGCGGACACTGCTGTGAGAGGTGGAGGGAACTTTGGTGCGAGTGAGCAAGGTAGCATTGCAAGATTATCATCAGTGGTGTCACCAGACCATAATGGTGGGCAGAAGAGCAGCAGCATGCGCAGCTCTCCTAGCGTTGTGGGTGTGAAGCAGGACTGATGGCCCCGCTATGGTTTATACATTCTTGTAACCAACTCAAGATGCGATACACTGTAAATCCATAGAGTCAAGCATCCCCAGGGTCCTCGCTATCAGACATTTTTGTCTGTTTGTCTTAGAAATCAGGCGATTTTTTCTCTGTTAATCTGATTTTCCTATATTTGATTTCGATTTCATCTGATTGGCTAGAAATCATTTTTTAGTTTCATCTGATGCATCAGAAACGTATTTTCTGATTCATCTGAAACCGAGTCATGTTATAGCCTACAGTTTCGAGCATTTCTTGATCTGAGATGTCAACCGGACCTACTATGATTGGGCTAAACATGCTCTGACAGGGCGGTGGCGTGGAGCATTCTGCTGCGCTGCCTGCTGCTAGCGGGAATCGCAGCCTAGAGCGGTATGGCACAGATTGCATGATACGATTTCTATTTCCCTTGGTTGTTTGTGTTGGGCGCAGGGTCTTCCGCATTTCCGCGGATTACTTCCCCCAAGCAAACGAGCTCACGAAATTGTTTGTCATCGCCATCAGTGTTTGAATTCCTCGCCGAGGTGTTTGGGGAAGAAGCTCACTTCGCTCTCGAATCATCTTGCGCCAAAGGGTGTGCTCTAAGACTACCCCCAGAAAATCCCTTTTAGTATGTAGACCGCAGCTTTAAGGCGAATCTGCTCTTGTGTCAGGGTAATTCTGCTGTGATTGGGCGAATTCGCTGCTCTCTGACAACGCAAAACTGTGATTGGGAGAATTCGCTGTGCTTTGACAGCACGAAACCACCGTGCCAGGGCGAATTTGCTGTCAGAGCGAATCTGCCGTGACCAGTCAAGTACACACAACAAGTCCGATTTTTCAGTGAACAAGTCCGAAACTATCTTTAACTATTGTCCTATTTGATTGGTCAGACAAGTTTTTTGTAAATGTCTGACCAATCAGACACAGAAGTAGCAAATTTCTGACGCATCAGACGGGCCCGAAGTGTCAAACATTATACATGTTATATCTGTGTAGGCTATAGTGGGTTAGCCTATAGGAGGGTCACCATTCTAGGGTTGCATATTTGTACCAAACTCACTGCTAGTTGCCTCATTCCAGTCCGTTTATTCTGACATGGTATCAGAGCAGGTCCATCGCTAGGACCGTTCTTAGGGCCCACCGCTACCTACCTACCTACCTACCGTGCGCCTCTTGCGCCTACGCGCCCTCGTGCGCCCTACCCTACGTGCGCCCTCGTGCGCCCTACCCTACGTGCGCCCTCGTGCGCCTTTCTCTCCTTGTGCGCCTTCGTGCGCCCTCGTGCGCCCTCGAGCTGCCCCTGCAGGTCCGTCAGGCCACCGAGCCGTCGCTGCAGGCCTGTCAGGCACCTGAGCCGCCGCTACAGGCACGTCAGGCACCCGAGTCGCCGCTGCAGGCCCGTCAGGCCCCCGAGCCGCCGCTACAGGCCCGTCAGGCCCGAGAGCCGCCCCTGCAGACCCGTCAGGCCACGCGCGCCGCCCCTGCAGGCCCTAGCCGGCCGCCGCGTCGCTCTGCCCGCAGCGTCGCCGCCTCTCCGCGGCGTCGTCGCCTGCCCGCGTCGAAGCCGCCTGCCCGCGACGTCGATCCCTGCCCGCGGCGCCGTCGCCTGCCCGCGGAGACGTCGCCTGCCCGCGGCGTCGTCGCGGCGTCGCCACCTGCCCGCGGAGTCGTCGCCTGCCCGCGCCACATGCACGCGGCGTCGCCACCTCCTCGCCGCGTCGACCTGCCCGCGGCGTCGCCACCTGCCCGCCGCGTCGACCTGCCCGCGCCGTCGCCACCTAACCCTAATCCGTCGCCCTGCCCGCGGCGTCGCCACCTGCCCGCCGCGTCGCCCTGCCCGCGCCGTCGCCACCTAACCCTAATCCGCCTCTCGCCCCTGGAGCAGCCGCCACTGCAGTAGCAGCCCCTGGAGCCGCCGCCACTGCAGCAGCAGCCCCTGCAGCCGCCCGCCACTGCGGCAGCAGCCACTGGAGCCGCCCACCACTGCAGCAGCCGCCCCTGGAGCCGCCCGCACCTGCAGCAGCCGCCCCTGGAGCAACTGCCGTCGTAGCCCGGTCTAGCTCTGCAGCAGCTGCCGCGGAGCTTCCTACTGCGCCTGCCACGCCGACCACTGGTGAGCATTGCCCTGCCAGCACTGCTACCGCTGCTACTGCTACTACTGCCGTTTCTACTCCCACTCCCGCTACTCCTGCTGCTCCTGACGTGGCCAGATGCAGCCACAGGACCGTGCGCGTGAGTCCCTCACGCTCCAGCAGGCTCGTGAGTGGTACGCCAGTTGGGGCTATCGAGGTGGCCGTAGTGGTAGTCGCTCTGACGTGCGTAGTTCGGGAGCCCCTGGTAGTGGACAGGTGCAGCAGCCGTGCCCTCCTACGGTCCAGCAGGCTCGTGAGTGGTACGCCAGTTGGGGCTATCGGGGTGGCAGTCGTGGTAGTCGCTCTGACGTGCGTCGTTCGGGAGCCCCTGGTAGTGGACAGGTGCAGCAGCCGTGCCCTCTTCTGGTCCAGCAGGCTCGTGAGTGGTACGCCGGTTTGAGCAGTCGGGGTGGCCGTAGTGGTAGTCGCTCTGGCGTCCGTCGTTCGGGAGGCTCCGGTAGTGGACAGGTGCAGCAGCCGTGCCCTCTTCTGCTCCAGCAGGCTCGTGAGTGGTACGCCGGTTTGAGCAGTCGGGGTGGCCGTAGTGGTAGTCGCTCTGTGAGTGAGGCAGCCGCTCTCGGTGCCAGTACGTCTGTTGCCCTCGGAGCAGGTGAGGCTACCACTCCCGGTACTCGCGTGTCTGCTACTCCAGGTGCTGGTGAGCCTACTGCTCTAGGTGCTAGTGCGTCTGCCGCTCCAGGTGCTCGCGTGTCTGCTACCCCAGGTGATGGTGAGGCTGCTGCCCTAGGTGCTAGTGCGTCTGTGCCCCCTGGTACTGAGTCGACTGCAGCACTGCACACCTTCACACTGGACTCAGGTGCTTCTCGCTCTTTCTTTCGTGACCGCACTGTCCTTGAGCCACTCGCTCGGCCAGTTGCTGTCTCCCTTGCTGACCCCTCTGGGGGTCCGGTCTTTGCGACCTCCTCCACTGTCCTTCCTTGTCCTGCGGTCCCGTCCGGCACGCTGTCAGGTCTCTACCTCCCCTCGTTCTCTACGAACTTGGTGGCAGGCCGAGAGCTCCAGGACGGGGGTGTTCACCAGTTCACCCCTGCCTACGAGCGCGTGACGCACTGCACGTGTGCTCGGACGGGTCGCCACCTGGCTACCTTCACTCGAGAGCCGGGGTCGGACCTGTACACACTGACCACTGAGTCCCCTCAGGTAGCTGCGTCTACGTCTGCGTCAGGTCAGCTGTCCGCCCCCTGCTCGTGTCGCTCTCTGGCGCATGAGACTGTCCTTTGGCACCACCGCCTTGGTCACCCGTCTGTGCAGCGCCTTCGTGTCAGAAATAACTGAGCAGGAATGAATGAACTAGAACAGAGTTTGGTACAAGTAGGAAACCCTAACTTTGTGTACCCCCTAAGGTGTAACCCACTACAGCCTAGACAATATAAACATGCAATGTTTGACACACCCCCATAGGCGCAGTGGGAAACAACCACAGGGTCACAAGACCAGTCAAAGCAAAGCAAAGCAAGCTCAGGGTGGATCTCAAGGATTCCACACAAATTCCGAGCACAAGCAAGCGGTCACAAGACCAGTT